GCATATTCCCGCCCTGTCTTCAGAAGAGGGCGTGGCGTATACTGAAAGTGAGAGAACCAGTGTTCAGCTGTACATATGGGAAGCCAAATGCACTGAAAGTGGGACAAAACAGCGCAATGATACAGAGCTTGTGAACTAATCTCACAAGCACGGCACTGATCAATTAAAATACTACGATAACGTATGCACACAAATACGGTTAAAACGTTAGCTAAGCACCATAACGACATGACATTCACAAAGCAGTATGGAGTGAAACGATTTGCACAGACATCCACATCTTTACATATTTACGTATAAACGTACCTTGAAAAATAGAAGTAATCCACTACGTCCCCAGTGGCTCAGATGTTGGGAGATGTTCAGTCTTACATCCCGGGATTGCTTACGAGACATTGTTGGGGTTACAGCTGCTTGACCATGGAGAAAATGGAGGACAGCGTACAACCGCTGAGGGCGGAAACTATAGCAATGCAGGACTATCAGTCAGCCACCGTGGGCGGGGCCTAAGCAATGTGATGTCATATTGCTTAGAGAATCAAAACGGCATGCCTAGTGAGACTGATTTGGTTTAATGGTTATTAAAAAATAAAGAGCGGATGGATTTTTATCATTATAGGGTGTTCGTGTTCACACACTGCCAACACACATTTATGTCCAAACACGTAAAAGTGGATTTTGCATAATAGGTGCTCTTTAAGAAAATGGTTTGCAATGTTTGTGCAGAAAGGGGCATTCTGAACGTCATATAACCGAACGCCGCTTTCCTTACGCTTCTTCTTTTTTCTTCTTGGTTTTTACTGGCGGCTGGCAACCATCATAAGAGGTGCATTGTCGCCTTTCCTTACGCTAGATTTAAATTGAAGTAATTAAATGAAAAAGCTGGATTTCATCCGGTGAACGCGGTTCACGCGTAATTTAAACACATTCTTACTTTTCGAAGAGTGCGCATGTGCATGGAAAAGTGCGAGTTAACCGTATGCCGCCGTCATAAACAGTTTTCTTGGAAATAACCATCTTTCTGGTGTGTTTATAAATGTAGCTGAATCAGTGAATCGAATGAATCATTCAGAAGAGGTGAGGGAATTGGATTGTTTGATTCATTGAAAAGATTCGAGAATCTGGGATCGTAAGAACTCGTGAATAAACACGCTAATGTGAGCTCCGGCAACACAATCATGGCAATTTGTAACTTCATGTTCCCTTTCAGTCGGTCACTCTCGACGTCACGTCGGATGACCGACGAATTGGGATCTCGCTTAGAGGGACCAATCTACTTTGAGTGTAAACTAAACGAGCCAATGCACATTGGCATGCGATTATTGCATCCAGCTGCCGCTGATCACAGCGTGAGTATAAGTAGGCAGCAGATGCAGCGCATATTCAGCAAATTGTTGGCTTATGAATTAGTACAATCTGTTTATGCCACCTTGTAAAATACTTAATATCCAGACTTCTGTTTATCACACAAATCTTATGTATGTGTATATATCTGTATATATCGTATGGCTGAAGACTTGGTATACCATAGTAAACAGGAAATTATTATTTGCTTAGTCTACTTTTTGTGTTTCAGGCATAAATGTGAATATAAATGCGAAGATCCCTTGTGGTAATGTTTCACAAAATCATCACTTTTATGTAATTGAAAATCCAGTTGCACCGCATTGACAAGTTCAAAATACTTCTAAAAAGTAGTTTTAAATATATCCACTATGTAAGAGATGTTGTCATTTTCTTATTATCGGTTCTAGAACAAGAACCTTTAATGCCCAAAGGATTAACAGTCCATTAAGATAAAGGTGGTTTGTAGGAAGCTTTGGGATTGTATTCTCCGAGAATACAATAACTTCAGACAGATTCCATATGCTTGTTACATTATCTGGAATGGAAAGTGAAGGGACAGATGCTGTCTGGAGTCATTTGGGGATCCGACTTCATCAAAGAGTTTGAGAACTCTCACGGAATTCCAAAACACCCTGTGACCTCACAACACATTTCCTGTCTTAAGTGTGTCACATTACTGGTGTCTGACTAAATGTGCTGATCATTTTGCTGCATTATTGACATTTCTGGGTCACCGTCATATTTATTTTAGCAAGGAGCGACACAGCCATATGTCATAAGGATGTGAACCGTTGCGTGGAATAGTCAAGTCATCGTTATGGTAATTTGGATCTTTTAGGAAAGCCAGAATGGAATTATTAATAACATCAGATCAATACTAAGTATTAGAAGAGCCATGTGACCTTATGAAACTAATATAACATTTCCCAATAGTGGCTGGTAATAGATCAATTTCCTAATTCCTAATTCTTCACACATGATTGCTCTTATTTTTATGAATATTTATTCTTTATATCTAAATTAAAATCAGTGGGATAATGTTATAATCTGTATATCAGAAGAACATTTTCTTATCTGGAATCATTGATGTGCCTCCATCTATAGTCAGCTGAATATTACTTTCAGAGTGCATCCGGCAAGGTCTTATGTCAAGGGATGAAACGTCAGTGAGAAGTTCAATGATTTCCAAAAGGCCTAATTATGATACTGAATATGAGCTTATGAAAATAATGGACATATATCACATTAACTGAGACCCTTGGTCACCTGTCGCTCTCTGTTAATTAACATCGAATCTGGAGAAGTATTCGTGTGAGTCAAACTAGGCCTCAGGTGAGACTAGGCCCATTTATGTTCGTGTATCTGTATGGGCTTGTGATATGCTTGCACATCATAAGCATTTATGCATTTGCAAGTTATAAAATTCACAAACTAAGGCGTGATGATAACTCCTGACTGTCCACTAGTTTACCTGAAGGTAAAAAATAGTGATAAATATGTAGTTTGTTGGCTGATAAATCACCGCTGGCTGATGGTGGTAACTGATCAAAAAGGTTCACATTAATTTCCATGTTGGGCATATGTTGAATATTTAGCACTTCCATCTGCTCTGAAGACAAGCAAGTGTATAGTCATACATAAATGTATGAAATCCCCCCGCCCGTCCTCTTTAACCTGTGGCAGAGAAGATTGGAAATATGATATTTATAAGCTTTAATCATGTGGCATATCTGAATAACACCCAACAAATTTGATAAGATCCAAACACTGTGAGAAATAACAAGCTATTTATAAACTTTTGGGAATGAGCAAAAATATCACTTTACCTCATTAGTGTTTAGATCATCAGACTTTTTTTTTTAATCAGATTTTTTTTGG